TTTTCTCATCAATAGAGTCTTATCAACTTCTAAATAAGGGTACGGGGTGTTACACGTGCCTAAATGAGGATGCCTGGGCTAACTAGTTATTTGAAAGAAGAAATTGTGTTTGTGTGATTTGTGGTGATTCACATGATGACATTGTCTTAAAACCCATGTTGTGTAAGACTTGGAGCAAGAGGCCTACACATGGTGTGATTTAAATTGTGTATTAAGGACTATGACAAATTGTGATGCATGGATTACCCAATTAGGTATATGCGCATAATATATATTATATTTAATGGCACAAAGATTGAGTGATATTGAATATGTGGGGTGAAGGTCCAAGATTGCTTATGGATAGGATTTATGTATGAATGCCCACGCATTAGTGGTATATTTAAGGATAAGTATAAGGATGTTAAGCCACGATTTATTTGATTAAATATGATGAATGCCCATGTGTGGTTAAAGGCATGAGGGCCTATAAATCTATTATGCTTTTGTTTAATGATGCCTTAGAGATTAGAAGGCAATTAAAATTATACTAAGTTTAGAGATGATTGAAGCTCGATGAATTTGAATGTGCTTTGATGTGGACATAAGGAAAGTCATAAGCATGATGGCCTGATTTGTGGTTACATGCTTTGTTTAAAGGATGAATTTCGGACATTTATTTGACTTGAGATGGAGTTGAGTCCCACGCCCTGTGACTATGTGTGTGCTTGCAGAGATGGTGGAAGCAGGGACAGTGGCACTAATCTAAGTTGTGATTTCTGCTTGTAGTGCTTTGATGCCATCCATTTAGATTACTCTGAGTGATGTCGATGTCAGAAGATTATTTCGATCGATGATTTTGATTATTCGTCAATTGCTTTGGCACTGACCATGATCTATTCTCTGCCCATTGCTTCAGTACATGTGTGATCTGTTCTCTGCGCAATGGCTTTGCCCTGCACATGATTTGTTTCTCCACCTATTAGCCATCATGCATGATTTGTTGATGTCCAGGGCAAGATAACTCATTTGATTTCATTTGATTATGATAAGATGCATCATAGATGGCACGATCTGATTTGAAAATGAAATTATGTCGATTGACTATGAGTGGTATCTAATGAAAAGCTTCGAGATAAGCAATTTATGTGTGAATGATGTTCGAGGTTAGGCTCGGTAACTAAGGTGTGCTTATGAAGCCAAGTTTGATGATATTAGCTTTAAGGATAAGCGTTGACTAGATATGGTTTGATGTACGGACATAGAACTTGTGAATTATGGATATAATACACCGTTGAGATGTGATTTAGTAGGAATTGAAAGGATGAGTTATACATGTAAGATATTAAGATGATCCTCACTCCTTTGAATTGAAGATGTTTGAATATGAATGTCTTATGGCCAATTAAGCTTAAATATGTAATATATATTTATGCTATGATAGCATCTTTTTATTGAGTATTAGATGACTCACCCCTCTATTGTAGCATGTGCAGATAAGAAAAGCTATGAGGTCACGTGGCAAGTGTCATCAATTGGACGAACAAGTAATTAGCATCTAGTAGGTCTCTCTCCCAATGCGTCACTTTGCTGAGTCTATATAAGCTTTCTGCCTTACTGTTTGATTGGTTAGTGAAAAATATGTTAGGCACAGTGTGTCATTAGAATTGTTTAAGGGTTATTATGTTTGAACCTGATTTGATGACCAGTGTATGGCTTTATGTATAATTGTATGGATTGTGACCCAGGGATAATGTAATGTATTTGAAATTATTGTGAATATTTGTTTATAAATCCCTTTGCATTTGAGTTATATGGTTGTGAACTTGAGCCTGGATCGGGTCTAATAGGCTTGCCTACTAGACTCGTGCACGGGTCATGGACCCCTGGATTTGGGTTGTGAAAAACACCAGGTTTCCTAACGTATCCTTCTCCCTTATATGGACTACACAAGATTTATACACGTACTCTACCACAAATATCTCCCCTAAAGGAGTAATTACATTTGGGGGTTCCTCTATGTTACTACAAAATGGATTAAAGTTCGGCACAAAGTGCGGGGACATAAAGGAATGTGTCAATCTGGGATCAAATAGAACTGATGCTTTGGTACCACATATAAGAGGTGTACCTATGACTACGACATTGGAAGTTTAAGCATCTTGTGGAGTTAAAGTAAATACATGTACTTGACCTCCACTTTCATTACCTGGTTATGTCTATCTACCACGAGATGATGAGGTCACACCCTTACCTTTATCACTTATGGTATTCCTCCTAGTTTATGCCATTCTAGACAGGGGAGTTGCCACTTGTCTCATATATCCATGGTTACCTTTTACTATTTGTCTCTACATTAGGTAATTTTTCATCAAATGCTCAGATTGGCCACATCCAAAACACAATCCCGCTACTTTGTGGTAGAGTCCACCATGTGACTTACCACAATAAATATATAAAACACCTTTCTATCTGGGAAATTAGATGCTCCACTAGACTACTCTTGTCTAGATGGTGGGCTAAAGGAATCAATATTTCTTAGTGGCTTATGCGTAGGAATAGTTCCTTCTAGACTTGGAAATGCATGAATATGGGTCTTTTAGTCGTGTTAAAATCTCTTTGGCCCTGATGGCCTTGTGTTTGAGTTTTTTGTTCTCTACCTCCTTCCATTCTAAATTCCAATCTCTTGGTTTCAATCATTCTATCTACGTCTACCATTACAGCATATGTGGCAAACTATTGAGTGGCTAAAACCCTAAACAATGGCTCCATTAGTCCTGAAATAAACCTCTTGATCTTTATTATTTAGTTAGGACCAAATCGAGAGCATATCTTGAGAGTTGGGTGAAGCATCATCATCATGTTTAAGGCCTATCTAAGAGTTTTAAACTCGTATGCCTTTACGTCTCTCACCCTCTAAGCAAGACGTGATCTAGAAAAGCTTGTACAAATTCTTCCCACATTATTAGAGATGACCTTGATAGTCTGCTTCTCTTAAGTGTGAGAAACCATATTCTGGCCACATCCTTAAGTCTAAAGCCCACTAATTCTACCGATCATTGTGTGGAGCATCCCAAAGCTGAAAAAATATACTCTTTGTCTTCCAATAAAAGTAATGAACGAAGAAAACCACCTTTTTCTTGTGGGTCATAAAACCACATACATCAGTGTGTAACAATGTTAAAATCTACGTGGCTTTTATTCCTTTTCCACAAAAAGGAAGCTTAGTCATTTTACCTTGAAGGCAAGCTTCACCAATTAGATGTCATGATCAAAATTTGGCAAGTTGTGGCAAGCACGTACGAGCCTAGCAGGCAAGCCCGTGAGACTCGAGGAAGCCTTCATTCATAAACCTAAGTAACATAGATCATTTACATAAGGCCTCTTGGTCAACATCATATCCATTGGCATACGAAACATTGAACTTACATAGTTCACGATATAGCTCCATGCCTCATATTCTTACACTAGACTTAAATAGAACATACACATAGAGATACATTGACCAATTCACCAAGTCATTAAACATTCATTACATAACATAAGGCAATTGCATGCCATCATATTTCCTTTATGACATGCTTTATTTACAGTGCAGAAGCATACATAAACTAAAACTTAGATTGTGACATAGCGAAGATTTATTGTCAGCGGATAGCATACCATTTGTCAAAATTGCGTGTTTGACATCACAACACTAAGACACCCAATCCTTGGTGCCTATTTATATGCACATATACAATTAAAGTGATGAGTAACTCTAATACTCAATGAACGAGAGTATAAAACAATTGGAAATGTGCAAGGATAATTACTACACATATCCTTTAATCATATATCTCAAGCAAGTACATAACGGGGGCAGGTCAGATATCACTTGTCAATCATGGTCTATCATAATCATGGAAGCCATACTACACTGCATACTTATGTCTATTAACATACTAAGGTGCTATATGTTGGGGATTTAAATCATGCTAAGACAACTCATACGTAGCGAAATATTATTAAAATTTTTAATCTCCTAAGCCATGGATCACTTTAGTTGAAACTAATGTAGAAAAACCACAAGAGAGATTTTGACATACCTAAAGTCTGCTTTCTTTGGTGGAGTCCTCCTTGGCTTTTCATTTTAAGTTTTGTATACTAACTAGGACTTATCAAACCGTAACAGTACAGTTGTCTTACCTCTATTGGTGATCCATACAGTGATTTGCCTAAATCTCTTCACTAAGAGTGTGTGAATCCCTATGTCAAAGTTTGTGATGGCAAACTCTTAACTTTGAGCTCAAAGTAGAACTCTTCTATATATTCAATGTTAGGAATTCAAAGAATATGATGCCCTAGAAAAAAATGTTAGGAATTCAAAGAATATGATGCCCTAGAAAACAAGTATATTCTCATACTTAATTTCATTAAATTTATTTGTAATGAAAACACATTTTGATAATAAGACGAAGAGTTTGTTTTAGTAAGCATTCATTATCTAGTTATTAAGGTACCATGATTCTATTGAGATATTAAAATACATTTGTATGAAGAGTCATATATAGGAGACATGTATTTTAATTGAATTTAAAAATTATTCATAGTCATATAATAAAGCTGGTCACTTTATTGTGTTAAGGTTGTAGTGTCTAGATTACTTCCAACGAAATGAATGTGATTCATTTCAATGGAATGATGAGTCTCAAATCATCAAAATGGTTGACTTCAAGTGATGACACTATAACACGAACTGGAATCATGGGATAATCAAATTTAAGTTTTACCATTACTTAAATTTTGATCTCACACTTATGCATTTACTTATAGTAGAATTGAAATCTTGATGGATAGTGAACTCGTATTTAATCTCCTAATAATCATTGATTTACCATGACCATGATCATCATAAAGCATTGATCTAGACTTC